AGGAGCTTTTATTTTAATGAAGTCCATGTTATCAGTGTTGTCTTGCCTTAAGATATCTCAAAGATCCTCTCAATGTGTATGTTCTTCATAGTTTTAGTTTTGCATTTAGTTCTTCGAGCCATCTCACATTACTTTCTCTATGTTATGGTTTGTGCTAGGCGGCCAGTAATCATCCTTAGCACGTATGTAAATGTGTCTTTTTATTATCTGGCTGTTTTTAAGATCTCTTTAGCTTTTGTTTTCAGCAATTTGCTGTGATACTCTAGGTGCATAATATACTCTGGGTTCACTAAGTTTCTTGGATCAGAAATTCTATTAGTTGCAACATTGTCAGCTATTATTTCTTAAAATAATTTGTTCACCCCATTCTCTTGCTCCTCTTATGGGATTTCAATTTCACACATGTTAAATAAACTGTTAGATACTATCTCACAGGTGACTGAGGTCTGAGGCCTGGGTGGGGGTATTTTTGTTTGTTTTTTCCCTATCTTTTTCTCTCAGTTCTTAGGATTACGTTATTTCTACTGATCTTCGAGTTCAGTTGCTCCCTCTTCTGTGTGTTCTGCACATCTAGTATATCTTTTTCCTTCAATTACTGTCCTTAATTCTAGAGTTTACATTTGGGTCTTTTTAATATTTTATATGCTTAGATGCTCCATCTGTTCACTCAGTATGGATCTTTTGTTTTAAGTCCTAATTATATTTATTAGAGGCACTTTTAAAGTACATTTCTGCCAATGCCAACATCTGGATCAGCTCAGGATCTATTGCTATTTACTCTTTTTTTCTCTGGACCTTGGGTCACATTTTTTGCTTATCTAATAATTTTTTACTGTCTCCTGGACACTGCAGAAGACGTGTTGCAGAGGCTCAGGCTATCATATCTTGTGCTGAGGAGGGCTGGGCTTTGTTCTAGTAGGGGTGGTGTAGGCCAGGCACCTTGAAGCTGTGGAGGCTTTATGCTTGGGTAGGGTGGCTCTTCCGGAGTGTTGCCTTTAGCCTTAGGGTGGGTTCTCATTCCTGGGATCTTGTCTGTGCTGCTAAGGTACGGCCCGTCTGGGTTTCCAGTCGGTGTTCTCTGGGCCCCACAACTTGGCAGGATTCAAACTCCCTACTGTTTCTTTTCTGCAGTGAGCAGCAGCTAAGATCTCTGCTTAGCTTTTGTCAGCCTTCTAGCTGCTGCTGTCCTTGTAGGCTCCCCGACCGAGTGGGTGGTTTAGTAGTCAGCTGTGGATTTGAGAGGGGTTGGGGTATAGATTTGCAGCTCCCTCCTCTGCAGCGTCTTCCTTTGCAGGACTTTTGTTCTTCGTCTCCAACCACACTGGTAACCCTCAGCCCTGTCCTCCAGCCACTAGCACTGGTTTCTACCTGACAGGTCTGTGAGGGTTATTTCAGTACCAGCTGCCACCACCATTCCTGGACTCATAACTCCTCAACTTTAACTTTTAACTTGAGAATTTAATTATTTTACTTTTAATATAATTAGTGATGTATTTATGTTTAAACCTATAATTTTACACTTTGCTTTTTAATTACCCTGTCTGTTCTGTGTTCTTTTGGATTGAACTTTGTTTTGTTTTTAATGCCATATTTCCCCCTTTGTTATCTTGGTAATTATGCATTCTGCTATTATTCTTCAAGTGTTTACTCTAGAAATTACCTTATGCTTCCTTGACTTATTCAAGTCTAATATAAGGTATTACTTTTATAATGTTTCAATAATGCAAGGATCTCAAATCCAATTTCTCTGCTTCCTGCCTTTTATGCTCTTATAGTGTATTTTAATTTTGTAACTTAGACCTCATAGGACATTTATTATTGGTATACAGTCAACATTCCTGTCAATTTCCTCCACATGTTTACTCTTTCTGTTGCTTTATAGTCTGCCTGCATTTCTGACTTTCCATCTGGGATTTTTACTCCATTCTGAAAAACACTGTTTTGTATTTCTTTTAATATACTTCTCTGGTGCTCGGTTATCTGTTTGAAAATGTTGTAATGTCATATTTTCTTAATTGGGCTTTTATTCACATAAAATAAAGTGTAGTTCAATGAATTTTTACCTTGTACTTGTTGAAGTGCCGTCAAGATTAAGAACATTTCCATTATTGCCGAAAGCTCCCTTCCTAGTGTATCCGCCCACCTCACCAACCTACCCACTTTTCTGTGATTTTAAACTTGATATAAATGGGAGTTGTATGTACTCATTTATGCTGCCTTTTCTTAAATCAGAATACTGTTTTTCAGCCCTGGCTGGTTTGGCTCAGTGGTTAGAGCGTCGGCCTGCGGTTCAGAGAGACCCGGGTTCAGTTCCCGCTAGGGGCGCGTACCTCGGTTGCAGTTTGTCCCCGGCCCTGGTTGGTCGTGCGGGTGGCAGCCACTTGATGTGTCCCTTTCACGTCGATGTTTCTCTCTCTCTCCCTCCCACTTTACCTGAACAAAAAATGGAAAAATGTCCTCAGGTAAGGATTAAAAAATATATATATACTGTTTTTCAGATTCATCCATGTTTTGCATATATAGTTCATTCCTTTTGATTGCTGGGTAGTATTCCATTATGTGAGTATGCCCACCCCTATATAGATGAATTTCAAAATCATTGTTCAGTGGAAGAAACCAGACACAATCGAGTGTATATTTTGTGATTCCATTTACATGAAATCCAAAAACAATCAAAACTGACTCATGATGTAGAAGTCAAAAGGGCTCACCTGGGGTAGGTGCAAGAATTCACCAGAAATGGGTACGAGGGGACCTCTGGGTTATGGAAATGTCCTTTATCTTGTTTTAGGCAGTAGTTACACAAGAATAGGAAATGTCAAAACTTACTGGACTGAAAACCTACACTGTGCACTTTATTTTACATTCATTGTACTTCAGTAAACAGGTGTAATGTTTTAAAGCCCTGTGTTATAAATACTGAAGTTATTCCTGGTTTTCAAATGAGAGAACTGAGGCAGAGAGGTTAATTGACTTGTCCAGTAATTCACCATTGGTGACAAAACTAGTCAGCCAAGTCGAGTGGTCTGGCTTAAAGTCTGCGCCCTCAGCCAGTATGTTGCTCTTATTCCCCAGTTTTTGTCTCATACCCTGTGGCTCAGCAAGTCTACTTCCAGGACTTTAGCCTACAGGTAAAGTCACATATGTTCCAGACCACGAGGTTAATAATTGTACAGAGTTAATAATTGCAACATTGTTGATTGGTGGGAGACTGACTATATAAATTGTAGTGCAGTCATTCAATAGAATATGATAAAGTAAACAGCTTTAGAAACCTTTATATACTTATAGTGGATGATCTCCTAGGTGTAATATAGAGTGAAAAAAATCAAAGACAGTAGTAATGCTACCATCTGTTACCAGTAAATGAAAAAGATGCAGGGGAAGCTGTCTGCACATGAGCTTGTGTAACCTGAAGTGTTTCTGAGAGGAGACGTGAGAAGCTGAAAAGCCCCGTTTCCAGGGCAAGGAGTCGAGTAGCTGGGAGAAAGGGGTAGGAGGAAGGCGTTTCACTGTTTACCCGTTTTGTACATTTTGGGTAATGAAGCATGTGAATGTATTACCTATTCAAAAAATTAATGAATACAATTATAATTTGGAAATGACTGAAATAGCTCATCAGACACACAGTTGCCTGAGCTGACAGAAGCCTGCCTCAGACTTTCAAGTCTCCCTCCCCTCACACCAGTCAGTACCCAGGGCTCGTGTGTGCCAGCCTCAGTGTCCCTTGCTCATCAGGCCTACCCCATTTTTCTCCAGGACTCTCGTAGGGCCTCTGGGCTTGCTTCCCTTCCTTCTTTCCTCCTGTGCCGCTTCCTGCCAGCTGTCCGTGTCCCCGCAGTCCTTCCTAGTCCCCAGTTTTCGCCTGCCTTTCTGCTTCCACTTCTGTCCCGTGATGGCCTTAAAAATGCAGGTCTGTCTCACTCATGAACAGGCTGCGAAGGGCCTGGTGTCCAGCAGAGGGGCCCCAAAGGTCTGTTGCCTGCTTCCGAATTAACCTAAAACAGGTGTGATAATACCATCCCTGCCTCCCCCATAACTCCTCACTTCTTATTTGTTTGTTTGTTTACAATATGTTTTTATTGATATTTTAAGAGAGAGAAAGAAGGGAGCGAGAGAGGGAAGCATAGACATGACAGAGAAACATCAATTGGCTGCCTCCTGCACGCCCCACACGGGGGAATGGTAACGAGACCTCTCAGTGCATGGGACAGCGCTCAGTCTACTGGGCCACACCGGCTGGGCCTCCCCCTCACTTTTAGCTGTCTTTCCAGATCATCACCTGTGAGGTGACTTTAGATGGTACACAAATGAACAGTTGAAATTTACATTGCTAAGTATTTTATTGTCTGTTAGGAAAAATAAAACTAGTCTATTAATCCTGTGGGTTTTACATTTTACCAGTGTTACTGCTTAGACAAGGCTAAGCTGTTTTTTTAGTGATTGTTTGCAATATCCAGTAGTAAATAACTCAGATGGAACACAGATAACAGCAAACATGGTGTCAGTGGAGCCCTGGCCCTTGGGGAGATGCTGACTTATAGTAAATGGGGCCTCACAGAGAAGAGCCACCCATTCGTGCTGGCACTGGAGTGCAGTGGCTTGATGCCCTTCATCCACTCTGTCCCTGGCTGCCTGGACCCTTTTCTGTGGTCACCTGACTGCACTCACCACCCCACCCCACCCAGGTCATGTCCCCATCTGCTCCCTCCATAACTCTGGGTTTATCTTGTATTGATCTCTTCTCTGAAGTCCTCCCTAGTGTAGGCGTTTCCTGTTGCTGCTGTAACAGATTACAGCAGACTTAGTGGCTCACAGGAACACAGGGTCATTCTTTTGTAATTGTGGCAGTGAGAGGTCTGAAATCAGTTTCACTGGCTTATAGTCAAGGTGTTGGCAGAGCTGGTTCCTTCCAGAGGCTTTGAGGGGAGAATTTGTTTCCTTGCCTTTTTTAGCTTCTAATGGCTGACTTGGCTTGTGGTCCTTTCATTCATCTTCAGGGCACATCACTGCAGTCCCACTTCCACCTGACATCACCGCCTCCCTGGCTCCGACTACTCCTGGTTCCTCTTATGTGGACCCTTGTGATTACATTGGGCTCACCTGGATAATCCAGGCTCCTTACTCCGCACAAGATTCTTAGCCTAATAACATCTGCAAGTTCACTTTTACCGTGGAAGGTAATGGAGTCACAGGCTCTTTGGTTGGGGTATGACTATCTATGCAGGGAGGGCCATTAGCTTCCTGCACCTGGCATCACCCCTCTCCTGGGCACTTAGATTTGACTCTACCTTGTGCTCCCACAACTCTGTCCATCCTTTGATGTCTCATTGCATATCTGCCTTGTAGTGTCTGTCCACCTAACCAGTCCTCCTACGGGCAGGGATGAGTCCCTGTCTGCGTAGAAGACCACATGTCTGTGAGTAGACCAGCCAGTGCAAAATGGGGATTGTTGGATGAACAGTGGAACCCAACCAGAGGTTGGGAGTACTAAATGGGGTTATGTGTAAAAGTAAGAGAAGAGTACCTGACAGTAATGAGCACTTAGTCGAGGCAGCTGATTTCATCAGCAGCACTGTTGATCTTGTTTATTATGTGAAAGGTTATATGTTGTTATTCTTTTTTTTTTTTTTTTTTTTTTTTTTTTTTTTTTATCCTCACCCGAGGACATTTTTCCATTTTTTGTTCAGGTAGAGTGGGAGGGAGAGAGAGAGAGAGAGAGAGAGAGAGAGAGAAACATCGATGTGAAAGGAACACATCGAGTGGCTGCCACCCGCACAACCGACCAGGGCCGGGGACAGACTGCAACCGAGGTACGCGCCCTTAGCGGGAACCGAACCCGGGTCTCTCAGGACCGCAGGCCGACGCTCCAACCGCTGAGCCAAACCGGCCAGGGCTATGTTGTTATTCTTGACAAAGTTAGGAAACGGGGTAAACTCTTATTAAATCTTGTTTATCTTTATATTTAAAGAAATGTTTTGTGATTTTAAAATATTTTCCTCAAAGTTTTTAGAATGACAAAATGTAGAAAGGACGAAAGGATTTGCAGGGGCTGACTGTGAACCTGGGTGCACTACTCACCTTGTAGCGACCCATTACAAGGAAGCATTATGCAGAGTGATACCGTCACCCTTAGATCTCGTTAGCTTACGAGATGGTAGAGTTTAAAGGAAGGGTTAAAGCCATGCATGACTGTGGGTTCCACGTAAGTAATTTATGGAGACTCATACGACTTCTGGCTTTCTGAAGCCATTCTAACATAAGATACAGGTGCCCTTATAGTCAGCTAACTCTCAGTGAGCACCTGGCAGATTCTTGCACCATCCTAACTTTTCCTGAAGGCCCCTTGGTGTGGCTGTTAAAGAAACAGTAGATTTCATGTACCTTTGATCTTGTATGTCTCCATCTTGGTGTATTCAGTGGTGCTTCTATCAGTGTATATAACCTAGAGACCCAGGCATTTTGTGCATGAGATTTTGAGCTCTTTAGAAGTTCTTTGTTAATTTTTATTGTTATTATTATTAGTTTTTTAATCCTCACCGGAGGATATTTTTTTTACATTTATCTTCAGATAGCGTGGGAGGGAGGGAGAGAGAGAGAGAAACATCAATGTGAGAGAGAGACACATCGATTAGTTGCCATCTGCACAACCCCAACCGGGGCCAGGGATGAACCACAATCGAGGTTTGTGCCCCTTGGCCAGAATCGAACCCGGGACCCTTTGGTCCTCCAGCCGGTGCTCTAACCACTGAGCAAAACCAGCCAGGGCTCTTTGTTAATTTTTAAATGTGCTGGGTTGTTCATCCTTAAAAGGCACCATATGTTGCCCAGCTGGTGTGGCTCAGGGTTGAATGCTGACCCATGCATGCACTGGGAAGTCACCAGTTCAATTTCCGGTCAGGGTACATCCCAGGGTGTAGACCAAATCCCCAGTGAGGGGCATGCAGGAGGTGGCCAGTTGATGTTCTCTCTCATTGATGTTTCTCTCTCTCTCCCTCCCTCTTCCTCTCTAAAATTAATAAAGAAAAAAGGCACCATATGTCATTTGGGAATGATGGCATTCCACGTGCCACTCCAAGAAAAGGGCTTGCAGTCAAGAGAGGTCCTGGAATGTGAGGACCGAGCACACCTTAGTTCTGAGAGAGTCAAACAAGTTCACTGCAGTTAAAGAAAAGACATTCTAGAACACCTTGTGAGAAGTGTTTTCACTGGGAGATGTACTGCGACCAGAGGTCAGGACTGCATGGTGTGCATGAAAGTCAAGTTCTGAGAATGTCATGGGAAAGGGGGAAGTCTGTGAGAAGCACTCTAGCTTTAGGACATGATGCTAGTAGGGATTTTAGATTAAAGAGGTAATAAGATCTGCCTAGGCAGAGTGAAGAGCAGTGGTTTAGTAGTGAAAAATAAGATTATCAGGCAAGTAAACGGCAGGCTAGAAAATAAAAATGTATCATTGGGATGGCAGGAAGCCATTGCCAGTTTTTCAAAAAGCAAGATATTGAAGCGATCATACCCTCCACATCATTTAACTTGAATGGTGAAGGAGTGATCCCAGAGTTCGAGTGACAGTGGAAGGGAAAAATTGTAGTAGTCTCGCTCGAAGATTAGGGTCCAATTTATGAACTTATATCGGGGGTTGAGGTTCAAGTGTAGATTAAATACAAAATGAAGAACCAGACAGTTCTACAAAATTGGATGCAGGTAGCAAAGAACATAGACTGTTGTTGCTGACCAGTTTCAGTTCTGTGGAAGGCAGACATCATGTGCCGATTGAGAGGTTGGAATTTGGGACTCTTGTGAGGTGGGCTGGAAATAAGCCAGCCCTGTCTTTACTACATTCAGTAGGAGGTGGTGATGATGTTTGTACAGCTAAGCTGAAGTCAATCTGATTTAGAATATGCTGTCCTCAACAAATAAAGACGCGAAGCTGTAGGAAGGAATTCATTCAGGTAAGTCATTCTGCCCCAGAACTAGCCCAGAGCTCCCTAGGGACCAGTTGGAAGAAACCACTGGCAACACCCTATCTCGTATGTGACCCTACGTCCAGGCATATCATTACATAGGCAAACTGAATCCAAATGTTAAGAAGGATTAAATTATTCTAACAGGTATGATAGGCCAAGATTTCAGGCTCTCAAAAATCAACAGAGGCTTTAAGGAGGCATTGGTCGGGGTTCAGGGGCGTCAAAGCGAGGGAGGTGTGGTCATCTCACCATAGCCACCTGAGCTGGGACCTGGAGGTGGGGCCTGATCATACACATGAGCCACCAGCAAAGAGAACCCAGCAAGTCACACCACTTCTTCCTCAGCAGAGCCCAGGGTCTGAGTGATGGAGGGACTGGTGAGTCTTTCCTGCACCTCCTGGGTTTTGCCTGTTGCCTACCACAGGGATTAGAGCTGGTGGCTCAGAAGACAGGAAGGTTCCCTGGGCATAGTCAACCCTGGGCTGGAGGCCACACAGCCGACCGCAGCCAGAGAACTGGAGTCACCTCTGATCTCAGCTCTGCCTGCACTTCATAGGCGGTACTCCGAGGAGGGCACAGCCAGGACCCCCGGAGTCGTGGGAGTAAAGACAGCAACACGGCACATACTCTGTCAGAACTCGGGGTCACAGGGAGGAGGGAGACGAGGAAGAAGTACAGTGAGGTCTCTGCCTTCATGGAGCTTACAAGTCTCCTGGATGAGTGAAACCTTGAACAGATCAATTAAAATAAATAAATAAATAAGCTGATCAGACATTGTAGTAGGTGTCCTGAATAAAATAGCGTGATGTGTGTGTTGCAAAGTGAAGTTGAGTTGAGAAGCTGCTTTGTTTGGGTGGATCACACAGCTTTCTGTGACCTTTGGCAATTGACCTGAAACCTAAAGAATGAGGAGCATGTCGCCACAGAGCTGGTAGAAACGCATTAAGGAAAAGGGACAGTCAGTGTAAAGGCAGAAACAGGCACAATTGGAAGGATTTAAGACTGAGAGAAGGTGACTAATTTATTACTGCAGTAATCCTGGCAGGATGTGCTGGGATCCAGGGGAGACGTGACAGGTGACTTAAAGAGAAGCATGTCAGACTCTGTCAAAGTTAAGAAAGTGGGATCACAGTCACTGCAAATAGAAACATGTTTCTTCTGTTTCTTCTCAGGTTGGGAGAGTTGGCTGGGAAACATGTTGGAGGACTTAGGTTTCTAACCTGTTTCTCTGCAAAGGCTGAAGTGAGCTGTTGTCCTGAAAAGGCGGGTAGCAGGAAGTGGTAGGGAGTGGAAGGCAGTGGTAAGAATGTGGGATGATTGCTGTGTGTGATGGGAAGCCTGAGGGGCAGCCCAGCTGACATAGGGTCATCTCCTTGGGGCTGTTCTGGGTGGCTGAGACAGGACAGACAGACAAGATTCCTGAAGACCTGTCAGTGTGGGCAAATGATACTGATGGTCAAAGGCTAAGAAGCCAACAGACATCAACCCAAGAAGACCCAAGTGGAGAGCTTTGGACACAAGAAGACCTTGGTGTAGAGAGGAAAGGGTGTGTTGAGGTGACCGTGCGGGGAGCCAGAAGGATGGCTTTGAGTCAGACAGGACATCAGGTTTGATCCTTTCTGACACTTGCATTACATGACAGCTGCCATTCTGTCTTTCCCCTGAGGAAGGAATCTGTACTTTCATTGGAGAAGAAATGGTTGGCAGGTAGGTTGAACTTTAGTGACTTCTGATCCTATATTGAAACATTTCTTTTTAATTGTTACACGTACCTTTCTCAGCTTTTTGTCTACTCCAAGTATCTTTCTTCTCTTGCTCTTTGAGCAGCCATAATGGATGTGTTGGATGCACAGGCTCTGTTAATAGGCCTCTATTGGACGCCGTTGTCACTCTTAAATGGAACACCACAGCCATAATTGATGGAGAGTTGAGTTGCAAGCTTTTAGGACTAATTGTAAAGTCTAAACTAAAACGCTTCTCAGAGCTGCCTTTAAATAATAATAATAATACCTTATGTAGATATAGAGCGTTACAGTATGCAGAGCACTTTTCACATACATCATGTCATTTAATCTTTACAATAAACGAGTCTGATTGAATGCTTAGATCTCTCCTGAGTGAGAAACCGAGCTCATGTCCTGATTGAATCACGGCGAGCTGCCAAAAGTTCTCAAAACAATAACCATTTATTGAGCACCTGCTATGCATAAAGCACTTCGCTAAGGGTACCAAGGGGTAAATTTCTAGTGAATAAACATCTAGTAAATAGTACCTATTCAAAAATGTGATCTTGCTTCCCAACTCTCTTTCCCTTCCTCATCACAGTCACTGTTTTGGAGACTGCTTGTTAAATCATAAATTTATATAAATATTACCAGGAATTCAATTGTAGCAGAATTTAAGTTTTTAAAACTAAGGATTCTGATACTAAGCTCAGTGATTCTTTAGAGAGTCATTCTCTTGATTTCGCCTCGTACTGTCTTGAAGTTTATGTAGCTGTTACATGACTCTCAGAAGTGTTGTAGACAACCAGCACGTCTGGAAAGGCCTGTGGAGGATGCTCAGGGTGTGGCTTCAGGCGGGTGGCAGGGCCCTTGGCCCTTGAGGCTTATTATCCAGTAGAAAAGGAGACACAGTCATCTCTGGGGTCTTTGATGCATTGAGCGTGGGAGACAAAGGACTCCCAGGAGGAAACTCCCTGGGTGCAGTTGGGGGTAGAAGAGGGTATTGGAACCAAGCCCACCCCCAGAGCAGAACTAGACCTGTGTCCAGGAGTCCCAGGGGTGTCCAGGCCTGTGCTCCGGGCCACCATGGTTCCTCAGAGATTCTCCAAAAAGTTTGAAGCCCCCAAAATAATAAGAATCCCTACTTCAAAGGCCCCTGGGCAGCATGGTCCTTCAGAATGAATGCTGCAGCCTGTGTGCCATCGTCCCTTTCCCATCGTCCCTGCTGGGGCAGGCCCTGGTGTGCCCAGCAAGTCAGCTGAACGGCTTTTTTGCTGCTGAAACAAAGGTGATAATCAGAGTGTCACTTCTTCAGCCATCTTCCTGCTCCTTGTTTAATGTCTTAATTTTATTAACTCTAATGTTGCACTAGCCCTTATTTGGCTGTTCATATGGCCATGTGGTTTGGGAATGGGAGAGTACCAATCCAAATGGCTTAATATTTTTTTAGTAGAGTACTCATTTCCTATTAAACTTTTTCCATGATGCTATCTTTTAAAATAACAACTTCTGTATGTTACAAGGGATGGTAACATCTTGATTACCAGGTTATCTCTTGGTTCTGATATGGAGCTTAGGCAATCACAAGCTGAAGAACTCTTCCTTTGTCGTGTTGGGCAGATGCGCCTCATGGTTTATTTTGACACAGACTGTGCAGCCATAATCTGAGCATCTCATAAATACTCCAGAGGGGACCACAATTAGGACCGAGTGTGGAGCAGGAGTTCGAGCGTTAAGTCTAAGTGATGTTTCCGACTAGGGCTGGCAGCATGCTTTAAATAATTGTGTTCTGATCATTTAGGTCTCTCTTTATAGGGCATCCTTTATGACCAAGACTGTCCAGTACCAAAATGAGCTACATAAATTCCTAATCTGGGATACAGCTGGACAAGAACGAGTAAGTCACTCTTTAATTTACTGTGTGTTTTTCTGAGGCCCAAATTAAAGCTCCGACTAAACCGCTGATGTCCCCGTCCTTTCACGTTACTCGCTCCTGTGCGCCGGAAACGCATCCATTCCTGTTCCGCAGGCCGCCTTCTCCTTTTCAGCTCGCGCCCCAGCGTCTGCTGGCCGAGAGGGCGCTGATGGGCGCTGAGGCATTTTTATACTTTTTAGTGTCTTAAAGTAAATGCTGACTAACGGGCCTGATACAATCCTGCTCAGAGCATTGTGTATAATTTGGGGCTCCATCCTCCAGCAAAGATATAAGAGAATTAGTGGTAGAAAGGGAGAGTTAAGCACATCTCATTTATAGCAGCCTTTTAAAAGCTAAAGAGGGAACTTTACAGCATATAAAGTTTGAGATTTAAGTGAAATGGATGAGCTAACACAGTGCCTTGCAATAGGTACTTAATAAATGCCTGATGATAAAATTGTCCAAGATGGTTATCTGCTTAAGGAAGAGCCTGAGCCAGTAGTGGGAACTGGGCTGAGGCATCACAGTGCAGAGTGGGTGAAGCCCACCCACACCAGACAGGAGTGGGAGGTGGGCAGAGGGGCAGATGCCTGCCTGCTGCCTTTTCGCTCTGGGCCCTCAGTCTGACTTCCCTCTCGAGTTGAGTCTCGCAGCCACCTCACCAGTCAGCTGCTGTTTGATTTTGTTCTCAGACAGCGCTACTAAGTAGAGCATCTGGTGGATGGATGCCCAGTGCTATCTGGTGCTCTTAAAAGTGCACCAGAAGTGATCAGGAGAAGCAGCCTGTCCTCATGGCTTGTCGAAGACAGTAGAGATGCTCTGTCTGGTGTGAAACCTGACAGAATCAATCATCACAGATGGAGGGAAACAAAACAAGCCCTTACTGTTGTCCTGGGCGTAGACACCTGCATTTGTGCAGATTTAATGTCTTAAGTTTGTTCTGTTTGCTTGTTTTAATGCTGGTTGTCATACCCTGTGTCCAGTTACTCATCTGAGATCCATCCACCTAGTCTCCCATCCCCCAGTCCTACTTTGTGCACCTGAATGGAGCGTTTAGGCCAGCTAGGCCTTTGCTACCCATTACTCTTCCATCCTTCCCAAGTGTCATTTCCCACAGAGCCTTCCTGAACATATCTGCAGGCACAGTTCTGGTGTCTGTTCTGTTATCAGGAACTCATGTCACTCTTACTAATGATATATATACCTTTCACCGAATCCCAAGTTTCAGTTCCTTCCCACACATGACGGAGCAGCAGCGCCCTCACCGTGAAGAATCCTGCTGGTGCAGGTTCCCCCATGCTTTGAGTCGGTGTGTACAGTGATGCAGAGCATCTCTTTTTCTAGACCATAAAAAAGAGGAACAGGGTTTGTGCCTCTCCCTTACTGCCGCCATAATAGCAGAATTCTGCGAAGTGTCATTAGCTGGTGTGCCTGCCTCTGCTCTTCCCCACTTCCCATTGATTTTGCACCAGGAATAGTTGCCCTGAGCTGTAAAGCTGCCTCCCCCTACTGGAGGCACCATCTCAGCCTGGGGCTGGCCCAGGGAATGTAAACGGACAGGCAGGCAGGCCAAGAGAACGGGCCGGCAGAACCTGTTGGGAGGCCTGAGAGGAGCTCCAGACTATGGTTGCCGGGCCACTGCCTTTCAGAAGAGCTAAACATCTAACAGCAAATCACAAATTGTTCGAAGTGCTGTGAGCGTGGTCCAGGGCACACCTGTGAGCTTGTTCTGATGCCAGCTTGTCCTGGGCAAGGCTTTCAGGGCCCTGACTATGCCAGCCTCGGCCAGTCCCCATCCTCCTCCCCCAGTTGTCCTCTAGGAGCCAGTCAAGGTGCCCTGCAATTTCATACCCTCATACCCATTGTTCCCTCTGCTGGAATACCCTCCCTCCTGTTGCCTGGAAGCTCGCCTCTCATGTCGCCTCCGCCTCCGGGGGGCTTTCCTAGCTGTCCCTGCTCTTCTCAGATAAGCACCCAAAATGCCATACGCCCATGTTTCACGTTCACTGTTACACCCTCAGAGCTCTCCCTAACCCCAGACCTAAAAGGGCCAGGTCATTCTCCTTCGGTGCCCCTCACTTACTTTCCTCAGGGCCCTCACTGTAGGTTGTGATAGATACCAGTCTCCCTGCAGACGGAGCTTGGAGAGCTGGGCAGTGTCTCACTCCCTCGCTCTGCCTTCCCGTTGCCTCGCAGTCCTGGCCTAGAGCTGGAGTGCAGGGAGTGGGGACGAGGCGTCGCTTAACCCTTAGCATGTTTCTTTGTATCTTGAAGAGTCTTTGGTCGCCCTCATCCCTTGGATCATTACCTGTTTCCTTACTTGTTTATCTTCTGTTAGACTGTGAGCTCCTTGGGGGCAGGGACTATCTTCATGTCTGTGCTCTCAGCCCCTGGCACACAATGTTGATGCCAGTGGATTTGTGTCACCTGATTGCCAACCCTATTTTGGCAAATAGAAGGACAGAACCTCTGCCTCTTTTGCCATGTGAGTATTGCATGCCTCACATTATAAATTTCTGGTATTTGCATGTTTACTATTATGTTCTCTGTAGTAACAAGATTCATTGTGGAACCAAAGGCATCATAAAATGAAAACCATTTTGGATGAACCCCACTTCAACCTTTGCAGTTGTCACTGTATGTAGTTTTGATGGCCCAGCTGCAGTTGACTGCAGAGGATTCATCAAGTCAATGAAAGTGATTTTGGCGAACTTTGCAGACGTCAGACAAAGCCTTTGATGGTCAGGATCTTATTAAATGAAGAGAGGATGATACAAGTGCTTCAAAGATAATGATTTGTGTATTGATGGGTTGAGAGGCCTAAGGAAAACTGATGGAGTCCTCAAATATTTTTGTAAAAATTACCCTTTTTAAGTAGGACCAGGAGAGTCAAGATGAAGCGGAATCTGTCACCTTGCACTAGCACATGGCTTCTTCAGAAGAAGCCATCAGAGGATCAGTCAGCGTGGGTTCACCCAGGAAACCTGCTCCTGGTGTAGTAATAAACCCAAGTTTTTTCAAATATCAGATAAAATGAAACTTGTTTTCATAATTTAAAATTTATTTTCTCAAGACAGAGCCTGACAGACCTTTTTGTCCCTATTTTCTATCCTTACTGACTTCGTTTTAGGTGACATTTTTTCACCAGTTGTCCTTCACTAGCAAGGATTCATACAGTCGTGTAGGGACCATGCTCAAAGCACAGCAAACACATCGCCAATACGCCATAAATATCACAACATCTCAAGGTCGCGTTGCCTATGGTCATGTAAAAGGAAGCCTCTTAACCCAGGTCCAGCAGACCCTGCATCCAGTCCTTAAAGGTTCATGTTCCTGAGCCCTCATGTGCTTCTCTGATGGCTCTTTCCAGGGGTGACACCTGGAACACACTGGCTCTGTTCTCGGCTTCAAATCAGGAACAAGTGTAGTAGCGCAGTGTCATCGAGTGCTCAGGTTAACTCTGTGGCCTGTGGGCTAAGTCCAACCAACTGCCTGCTTCTGTAAAATTTTATTGGAACACAACCACACACTTATTTGTTTACATAGTATCTCTGACTACTTTCACTCTTCAGTAGTACAGTTGAGTGGTTGTAACAAAGATCAAATGATCTGCAAAGCCTGAAATATTTAATACCTGGCCTTCTCCAGAAAAAGATTGCTGACTCCTTATCTGGAGCCAGATTTGAAGCAGAGATGTCCCAACATCCTTTGAGACTCTATTGAAGCTGCCACCGTCCTTACACAAAAGGACATGGAAAGAGTTTCACTGTCAGTGTGGCAGAGTGGCTTGTGATGGAGTCATCCTCCCACAGACAGCAGTTCTGTGGAAACTCGGGACAGCGCGCTGAAGAACAGCTACGGGAAGGCGCTGCCAGGTGCAGTAGGAGACAAAGGGAACTCCCCCGGCAGGCACTGCATTTTTACAGATTTCCTCCAGAGGGCGCTCCTCAAGTCCACGTGGCACCTGGTAAGGGACTCAAGCAGAAAGCCCATCTTTTTACCTTGTGACATTTGAGGACAGAGTTTAAGGCTGCGAGAACAACAGAAAAAAGAGGAGGCAAATCCCAAAAAAGGTGGATCCAACAAGGAGGAAGACTTAAAATCTGCTTACAAATTTCCTTCGAGTCTTTGCCTGACCCCAAATTATGAATGCACAGGGGAGACACTGAGGCCCCCAACAGAGCAACAGCCTAGAGGAGTAACGAGACTAGCCGAGACTGGCTGCTGCTCATCACCGGGAAAGTTGAGTTTCGGGTTGGAGGCCAGGTGCCATGAGAGGGCATTGGTAAACACCTTGGCTTCCATGGAAACTTCGGAAGGACCAGGCCCCAGGGGCAGACCCAGAGAGACCTACCCTAACCACCGGTAAAAACAATCTCACAATGAGTAATCGGCAGTTTCACACTCCTCGGAGAAGGTAACGATAGTTTAAGTTGTTCAAAGATTTAAGGAAAAGTAGTCTTATCTACTTTCTACAGATGGGGAAGCTTGCACAGAATAGAAACGGTAAAACTAAAAACTGTAACATCGGAAATGAAAAATCTATTAGATGGGTGACAAAGATTAGCCAATCAGAAGAACAGAGAAAGTGGAAAAATAATGAGCATAGTCTCAGTACCATCGGGACAGATTGCACACAGCTTGTGTAACTGAAACCAGGAATAGGGAAGCAGGGGACAGGAAAAAAATGGGTATTTCAAGAAATTATGGCTGAAAATTGCCCAAATCTGGTGAAACATACCAATTCCAAATGCAGCAGTTCATCACACCCGTAAATACACAGGAAGCCACCTCTAGGTGCATCAGAGCCCTGCTGCTGGAACCCGGCGTTTAAGAGGAAAAGCTGGCCCTGGCTGGTCTGACTCAGCCGTTAGCGCTTCGGCCCATGGACCAAAGGGTCTCGGGTTCCATTCTGGTTAAGGGCACATACGTGGGTTGCAGGGTCATGGGGAGGCAACCAATCATTGTGTCTCTCTCATGTCAGTGTTTCTTCCTCTCTTCTTTCCACTCTCTAAAAATCAATGGAAAATTATCTTGGGTGAGGATTAACAAAAAAACAAAAAGAAAGGGGAAACGCTGGAAAGCAGCCAAAGGTAGCCACATTCCATACAGGAACCAGCGTTCATGTGGCTAGCATCCCACAGAAACGGTGAGACCGGAGGACTGTGGCCCAGCGTCTCTAGAGTGCTGAAAGCAAAAAAGTCAACCTGCCAAAATTATCTTTCCAATATGGCATCGAAGTAATGACAGTTTTAGAAAAATACAGGCTGAAAGGACGCAGCAGCAGTGACAGGATGAGGCCAGATGGTAACTCAGACCCAGAGGAAGAAGTAACCACTGGCTGTGGTAAATGTAGACGTTTTTCTCAACTTACTGAAAAGACTACTGGCTATTTAATGCAAAAATTATCACATTGGATTGTGTAGTTTATAGTTTATGTAGCTTTAAAATATTTGACAACAGCACATAGGTCAGTGGGATAAAGAGAACTTTTCTCTCTCACCAGGTTCTGGTATCTACATGGGTGGTACATTTTAAACTGTAAGTCACCTGTGTGTGGGGGAGGGGATGTATTGTAGTTACAAGAGCAATCACTTTAAAAAGTAATAGAAGGTATAGATTAAAAGCCAATGGACAGGTTAATATATTAAAATTAAATACTAAAAATATTCAGTTGCCCTGGCCGGGTTGGCTCAGCAGTTAGGGCATCAGCCCATAGACCAATGAGTCCCAGGTTCGATTCTCATCAAGGGCTCCTACCTTGGTTGCAGTTAGTCCTCGGCCCTGGTCAGAGTCATGTGGGAGGCAACCAATCAATGTGTCCCTCTCTCTCTCCCCCCCCCGTCTCTCCCTTCCCCTCTCTCCCTCTCCCTCTCCCCGTTTCCCTCCCTCCCCACTTCTCTCTCCCTCCCTCCCACTCAGTATGAAAATAAATAGAAAGATCCTCAGGTGAGGATTAAAGAAAAAAAAAAAAAAAAATATATATATATATATATATATATATATATATATTCAGTTACTGCAAAAGGGGGGAAAGTAGAAGGAGGATTTTTTTTAATGGAACAAATATAAAATAGCAAAATGGTGACATAATACCAGTAAGACCAACTATATCAGTAAGTACATTAAATGTAAAGGAACTGAACGTTCCACTTAAAAGGCAGAGGTTGTCAGCGTGGGCCAGAAAGTGGAGCCAGCCATGTGCTGGCTGGAAGAAGAGGCCTTAAATAAAATCAGAGCTTTAAAACGAAAGAATAGAAAGGGGTATCCTATGTCAATCATAAGCAAAAGAAAACCATTGTGTTTGTATCAATATTAGTGAAGTCTATTTGAGGACAGGGTTACTGTGAAGGTTAAAGAGGAGCATCAGGGAACTTTCTGTGTTGATAGAAATGTTTTGTATCTTGCATAGATGCTGCTTACATGGGTGTACACATCCACGTGTCTCATGTTATTGAAACCTAAGGTTTTTGCACTTCTCTAGATGAATTTTACTTTCCAAATTGGAAGGGAGAAAAAAAAGATGTGGCTGGTGTAGTACCTCAGAAATTAAAGCTGCCCTGGCCAGTGTAGCTCAGCAGTTAAAGCATCATCCTCGGACCAAAGATCTCAGGTTTGATTCCAGTCAAGGGCATGTGCCCGGGTTGCAGACTCAATCCCTGGCCCCAGTCAGGGTTGGGCGGGAGGCAAACAATTGATGTGTCTCTCTCACATCAATGTTTCTCTCCCTCTCCCCGGCCCCTCTCCTTCTCCCTCTCCCATTCTATCTAAAAATCAGTGGGAAAATATCCTTGGGTGAGGATTAACAAAAAAAAAGAAAGAAATTAAGGCTGATGCCACACCTCTGTCCCACCTGTACACTCCTGTCCCCTTCACACTCCCCATGGAAGTCAGCCCATCTTTCCCAACAGAAATGCAGCTTCCTCTCTGTAGCGCTTTCTTGCTTATGACCTATAATTTTGGCTTTTTCTCTGTAACAAAAACAGCATCATTTATTGGGAATTAGTTACCAGGCTTCCACCCAGAGCCATGGATCTTTCTCACAAAAACCAGTGAGACCTCAGACGTGTGGACATTGGGGCCTGGCACTGGTTTGATGTCACCGCATACTTGACGTGTGTGCTGGTGTTTGCACAGTTCTGGCTCTTCGCAGTGTGCAGGCCCCAGGCCCCAGGCCCCAGAGAGCGTGCATGTAACGAGACAGGCGTCCTCGCTCATGGAGCTTACAGTTAGCATTTCACTTTCTGTTGTGAAGCTCAAGTTAACATGGAAGTTTAAAAGCCAGAGGTTAGCCCTGGCCACTTTGGCTCAGCGGTTAGCATGTTGGCCGGTGGACCCGAAAGGTTGTGGGTTTGATTCCCAGTCAAGGGCTTGTACCTGGGTTGCAAGTACAGTCCCCAGCCCGGCAGGGGTCCTGTGGGAGGTAACCAGTCACTGTGTCTCTCTCACATTGATATTTCTCTCTCCGCTCCCTCCCTCCCTTCCACTCTCTCTAAAAATCAATAGAAAAGTATCCTTGAGTGAGGATTAACCAAAAAAATAAATAAAAGCCAGAGGTTAAGCTCGTTGGGTGAGAGGTTGCAGACTCTCATTCCATATGTGAGTTGTACTGTGCCCCAGGCGTTCACCTCTGGCCACCGCTCCTCCCTGTGCTGGGGACGGGAGGGCAGCCACCAGAACAGAGCAAGGGAGAGCACATGGTGTCCCATTCTGTGTGGGGTTGGGTTTCAAAGCTGAGGCGCAAAAGGAAGACCTTTTGTAGTTGTACAGGTAAAATGTTTGTCTTTAAACATTGGCATCACATTCAGAGTGAGATGTTCAAACCAGCCCATCCATACAGCCGAGGAGTAGGCAGAGAGCTTCTGTTGAACATCTCACACTTACCGGGAGATACGGCAGCTACATCAGTCTTGACATTTAATCAGTTATTCCTCCCCATCCTCTCCTCCCCTTTACTCCTCCCCTCCTCCCTCTCCTCCCTCCTCCCTCTCCTCCCCTTTACTCCTCCCCTCCTCCCTCTCCTCCCTCCTCCCTCTCCTCCCCTTTACTCCTCCCTCCTCCCTCTCCTCTTCCCTCTCCTCCCTCCTCCCTCTCCTCCCCTTTACTCCTCCCCTCCTCCCCTTTACTCCTCCCCTCCTCTCCTTTACTCCTCCCTCCTCCCTCTCCTCTTCCCTCTCCTCCCTCCTCCCTCTCCTCCCCTTTACTCCTCCCCTCCTCCCCTTTACTCCTCCCTCCTCCCGCTCCTCTTCCCTCTCCTCCCTCCTCCCTCTCCTCCCCTTTACTCCTCCCCTCTTCCCTCTCCTCCCTCCTCCCTCTCCTCCCCTTTACTCCTCCCTCCTTCCCCTCCTCCCCTTTACTCCTCCCTCCTTCCTCTCCTCCCCTTTACTCCTCCCTCCTTCCTCTCCTCCCCTTTACTCCTCCCTCCTTCCCCTCCTCCCCTTTACTCCTCCCTCTCCTCCCCTCTTCCCTCTTCTCCCTCCTCCCTCTCCTCCCCTTTACTCCTCCCTCCTCCCTCTCCTCCCCTCTTCCCTCTCCTCCCTCCTCCCTCTCCTCCCCTTTACTCCTCCCTCCTTCCTCTCCTCCCCTTTACTCCTCCCTCCTTCCCCTCCTCCCCTTTACTCCTCCCTCTCCTCCCCTCTTCCCTCTTCTCCCTCCTCCCTCTCCTCCCCTTTACTCCTCCCTCCTTCCCCTCCTCCCCTTTACTCCTCCCTCCTTCCCCTCCTCCCCTTTACTCCTCCCTCCTTCCTCTCCTCCCCTTTACTCCTCCCTCCTTCCTCTCCTCCCCTCTTCCCTTTCCTCCCTCCTTCCCCTCCTCCCCTTTACTCCTCCCTCCTTCCCCTCCTCCCCTTTACTCCTCCCTCCTTCCCCTCCTCCCCTTTACTCCTCCCTCCTTCCTCTCCTCCTCTTTACTCCTCCCTCCTTCCTCTCCTCCCCTTTACTCCTCCCCTCCTTCCCAGTTGTGTGCCAGTGGGGGAAAGGGTGGTGGGTCCGAGGAAGCTGTGCCGACAGTTAAATTCATGTGAATGAAATTAGATGCCTACCCCCATTTGGGAATTGCTACCTGCATGGACTTAGCCAAAAATGGACTCATCCAAGTATCAAGGGTAAATGTGTGCTTATTTCTGGGGTACCATCTGCATCCATATGACAAGGTCTTTACGACACCCCAGTGCAGCTGCTTCTCTGGAGAACTATTTACAGCATGATTTTATGTCCTTGATAGTTTGGGAGCCCAAGTTTAAAGGATTGTTGAACAAATGAATTTGGGAATTATACATTGAGTTCAATTAAAAAGCCTTTTTAGCTGAAACAATTGTTTGTAGCACCATATTTAATTCCTGTAAAACTATCTTCTATTTTCTAAGAAACATTTCAGTGTTACATTAAGAGTTGTTGCCTTTGGTAATCACTGGTTCATTTGCTTTAAAGCATCATGTCATCTTGGGCTTAGGAGAAAGATTACCTTTTGTGCAGGGACAACGGGCTTAAGAGGTCTAGTAAAAAACATTAACCATTTTCCCAATTTTGTTGTTTCTCTTTCCCTGCAGTTCCGTGCCTTAGCACCCATGTACTACCGAGGGTCGGCTGCAGCGATCATTGTTTACGATATCACAAAAGAAGTAAGACGTGTATTGTGTTTTTCAATTTTGAAAACTCTCTTGGTTGCTTAGCTCTCCAGTTGCTCTCCTCTCGTGTATTACAGGAGACATTCTCAACATTAAAGAATTGGGTGAAAGAGCTGCGACAGCACGGCCCGCCTAATATCGTGGTTGCCATTGCAGGAAATAAGTGTGATCTTATCGATGTGAGGTAAGCTATTAGAGCAGGAGATTACAGTGCTGATCATGTGTCCCTTTTCCTACTGAGCAACATCCAGTATAAGAATCTTGCTTGTATTTTATCTCTGACATTGAAAAATCCCTTTCCATTGTGTGGTTGGAGTCCTGAAGTTTCAAAGTAAAATTAAGAGTTCAGGCATTTGGAGCTAATTAGATTGTGTATGTAGGCAAGTGTGTGATTTATTTAATGTTGGATGTATCAGGCTTGACTTTATCTGAGCTTCGTATAGCCCCTGGCTCTTGTAACATAGGATATTTTCAGGAAAGCAGATTTATTGGAAGTTTCTGTGGACCACTTCCATAATTTCCATAGCAGGGGTGTTACTTTGTGGGGGGGGGGAGCCCCTGCCGTTCTCTGATTATTCCACTGCATTCGTGGCTCACAGTGTGGTTTGCTTTTGTCTAACTGCTGACAAGCCATTTGTGGCCTCCTTTGTCATCGTCAGTCTGGTGAATTACTGGGTGTGTGGGGATAATATGGAGCTCTTGATGGGTCACATTTCTGATTTGCAATCGTTGCCTTTCAGAGAAGTAATGGAGAGAGATGCTAAGGACTACGCTGACTCCATCCATGCGATTTTTGTAGAGACCAGTGCAAAAAATGCGATAAACATCAATGAACTCTTTATAGAAATTAGTGAGTACCTCTGTGCCATGTGGGTTCCCCCTGTGCAGGGCAATTTCAAACAGATTGATCTCACTGGGTAGCATTTCTTCCTTGGGTAGAGTAGTCTCCTCTGCTGTGGTTCTTAGTGGAATGCACGTTGAGAGGGTCCAGGTGACAGCCGAGTTTCATGTCATGTCATGCTGGAGAGCTGCTGCCTGGTAACCGGCCCTTCTGGTAGGATGCGGCCACTGTATAAACAATGCCGGGGCTGTAGGCCTGGGGACTGTTGCCTTGCCCTCTTACATGTATTCCAATTAGTCATCCAAGTCATCAAACATGAGCAAAATAAATAAGGAGAAGGGAAATGCGTGTGGAATTCCACTGTAAGAAAACCCTCAAAAATTAATGCTACGTGCCCTGGCCGGTTTGGCTCAGCAGTTAGAGCGTCGGCCTGCGGTCCGGAGAGACCCGGGTTCGGTTCCCGCTAAGGGCACGTACTTTGGTTGCAGTTTGTCCCCGGCCCTGGTGGGTTGTGCGGGTGGCAGCCACTCGATGTGTTCCTTTCACGTCGATGTTTCTCTCTCTCTCTGTTCCTCTCTCTCCCTCCCACTCTACCTGAACAAAAAATGGAAAAATGTCCTCGGGTGAGGATAAAAAAAAAATAAATAAATAAAAATAAATAAATAATAAAATCAATTAAAAAATTAAAAAAAAAAAAATTTATGCTACGTGATTAAAGGTAACACCTATTTTCCTCTCCCTCCCTTCCCCTCTCCCAAAGTATTACTGTGATGGAAAGAGACTGCTGCATACCTTTGGGGGTCCTTTGCAGATTGTGTCTGTGTCTATTCATTTTATTCAAACTCATCAAAATATTGACAACCGATCCAGGCTCAGAGGAGACAGTGGGAAACAAGAGGGCATAGCCCTGCTCTCCTGGAGTGCACGCGGCCCGGCAGAGGACAGACAGGGAGCCCAGAAATAAGCGAGGTCCTCTCAGATGATAGGTCGCGGGGGGAAGAAAATAATATTGGATGAAGTGAAAGAGTGTCTGCAGGTGACCAGGGAACAGGCCTCCCCTGACCAGGTGATACTGGAGCCAAGATGTGACAGAGCAGGCCGTGCCCAGACCTGAGTCATGTTAACTGCACACATCAGGCTCCAGATGGAGGACAGGGGACAGCCATCAGGGCACCGTGAACTGACTTAAGCTCCATTGTCTGATGCGAGCCGAGACTGCTGACGCTGGAAGGGCGCTGGGCTGCCTGTGGAGGAGGAGCTGTGAACCGCACTGCCTGCTGGGCTCACCAGTGACGCCCTCCAGCGAGCAGGCCTGGGGCAAGCAGGCCTCGAGCAGAGATCCCTGGAGACTCTGACGTCTGGCAAGGGGGTGCCCGGCTCCAACAGTGTCGTCACTGGACTATGAGCCTCTGGTTGTCCAGTTGCTGGGGTTTTTGGTTTTGTTTTTATTTTTTGATGTTTATAGTTTATTCGAAGAACCAGAGATCTAAATTTTTGTAACATGTCCCATTGTTTAGATTTGGCCACTAGCTCAAATATTTTCAGAGTACGACGCAGGCCTGCAAGCCCATTTGGCAGATAAGGCCAGGGCTGCTGGTTTGCAGCCTCGAGTCCAGCCCATTCGTTTCAGCATTAAGAAGTGATGTTTATCATCTTCCTAGAGTGTGAATAGCAGTTACCCAGATGCAATTTTTTTTTTTTTTATCCTCACCCGAGGACATTTTTAGATATTTTGTTCAGATAGAGTGGGAGGGGGAGAGAGAGAGAGAAACATCGATGTGAAAGGGACACATCGAGTGGTCGCCACCCACATGACCCAACCAGGGCCGGGGACAAACTGCAACCAAGGTACGTGCCCTTAGCGGGAACCGAACCCAGGTCTCTCTGGACCACAGGTTGACGCTCCATCCGCTGAGCCAAACCGGCCAGGGCCCCAGATGCACTCTTGAAAGGTAACTTGAGGCCAGTCAGAAATTTTTCACAGTTCAAGCTAAAAAATCTAAGTGTGGTGTCAAAAGTGTACTGAAATTATTACTATTTTTAAGTGTTCTTTACTGTAGCAGTATTAAAAACAGGAAGGTAGTGAATTAGACCAACAATGAAAATCCTTAGATAAAAATTAGCTGGTACGTACTCATTTCAACTGTGAAAAATAAAAAAAAAATGTATGTTCACAAAGATTAGAAGAATTTAGAGAGAGATAAATTGAGGTTATTGTTTACTAGGTATTGTCAAGTCACATTAGCACAGTGGCCAGCATGCTTGCTTTTCACTGACGCGTCCAGAAGTATAATGCTCGAGGAATTTTCACAAATGAAGTGTACTCCTGTCATCCACACCTAGGACAAAATCCAGGGGTACTCGAGGAGCCCCCCGCCAAGGGAACCACTGCCCCGACTACTGACTCTTCAGATCCGTGTTGCCTGTTTTCATACTTTATATTTTTTAAATATACTGTATGTACTCTTGTGTCGGGCTTCCTTATCTCTGCGTACACTTTTAGGTTCATCCATATCATTGCACGATCCACTTTCAGTGCGTCTGTCAGCGTCAGAGTCGGAGTGGGGAGAACACCTGGGGTGGTTCTCCATCCTGTTGATTTTTTCCAGTTTAGAGCTATTACAAATAGTGCGGCTGTGAACGTTTTGCTTCCTGCCCGGCATGTACATAATAGGCCCACATTTTTGGTAGGTGTATTTGTTTTTGTTTCTTTTGGGTACGTGCCCCTAGCGGGAACCAAACCCAAGACTCTTTGGTCCACAGGCCGACGCTCCAACCGCTGAGCCAAACCAGCCAGGGCTAGTAGGTTTATTTTTGTACCAAGAGAAGAATGATAGTCATGAGCATGCAGTGTTCATACAGGTGTACTTGCTGATGCTCACACCAGGGCATAGAGGACTCTCCATCCCTGGTGGGTAGGGAGCAGTCTGCATTTCCAGCTCATGAAGTTGAGCACCTTTCCAGGTGTTTCTTTACATTCACACATTGTCAGGATGTTCTCCTCTGTGCATTTTGCCTGCCTTTCCCTAAGTGCTCGTCTGTACTGCAGTGTGAGTCCACTGGTGGTCATGTGCAGTCGATATACCTGCCCTGTGGCATGACTTCATGTCCAAATCAACTCCTTTTATGAACTGGCGTTTTTACGCTTAGTAGAACCCCATTGGTCCTTGTTTTCCTTTATGGTTTGCACTTTTGGGCTCCAGTTTGAAAAGTCACTGTCTGTTCCCAGATCAGGAAGATGCTCTCCTCTGCCTTCTGGACATGCTTCAGAGATGACTCTGTTCCATCTGTATTTCCAGGACCCACTGATAAGAAATACATAATGGCGCCCTGGCCAGTTTGGCTCAGCGGTTAGAGCGTCGGCCTGCGGTCTGGAGAGACCCGGGTTCGGTTCCCGCTAAGGGCATGTACCTTGGTTGCAGTTTGTCCCCGGCCCTGGTTGGTCGTGCAGGTGGCAGCCACTCGATGTGTCCCTTCACGTCGATGTTTCTCACTCTCTCTCCCTCCCATTCTATCTGTACCAAAAATGGAAAAAATATCCTCGGGTGAGGATAAAAAAAAAAAAAAAAAAAAGAAATACATAATGGCAAGAAGCTTTAGTAAAGTTTTGGAATTAATTTGCAGTTTATTCATAAAGCATGTATAGGCATTTGAAAAGTAGTAGTAGGACATACTGGGGGACACTATCAGGTCATGTGGACCCAAGCTGGGTACTACCTACCCAGATTTGCAGGCTGCTCAGTGTGCTGGAGGCCTCAGGCATGGCGACCAAGGACCCAAGATCTGGCAGATTCCACCTCAGCCTGTCCATGCCCAGAATGCATGTGCCAGTTCATTGCATGTTCTGGATGCCAGGGACTGTGCCAAGCAATCCTGGAAACAAAGGTGGAGAAACAGGGTCTCCTTCAAAGGGCCGAGGGTCTAATTTGAGGGACATCTTTGCATAAACAAATATATGACAACGTGCTTCCGGCATCCTAATGGGTTTTAGTGGCTGAGATGTTGCAGAGTTGGGAAGCAAAGGGCGTCAGGAAAGCCTTGTGTAGAAGCAGCCCTGAAGTTATCAGTGAGGTGGGTGGGTGGGGGATTTAAGGTTTCCCTCGAAACTGGCATTATGCTTCATGGAGCCGTAAAGTGAACCTGTTTATTCTCATACGTGGTTGGTGGCAGAACAAAGTGGCGCACCTCTCCAGAGAGCAGTTTGGCAGCATCTGTCAAATTTAAATTGCATGTCCTTTCCGTAGCTCTGCTAGGCAGACACTGGGCTACAGGGCATGTGTGGGGTCAGTACCCAGGAGTAGACTAGCGTGACCTGGCTTCTCCACTCTGTTAGTTTGTCCAGCACTTGCACTCGGGTTCACAGAGGTGTCCTTGCATCGTTCCTGGCAGCATCAGAATATTGCACACAAACTACATGTCCATCAACAAGGGACTTTAATGACACTACATTCACACTGCAGCATCACAGCTGTTGCATGGAAGGCAGCAGCTTCTCACACACGCTGGGGCAGTAATCCCGGCCAGAGGACCGTGCACTCTGCTTGCTCCTGACTCGGTTTAGGAAGGGCACAGGTTGAGGTGTGTGCGCTGTGCGTGTCTGCACACCTGTCTCTGGACAGAGGGACAGGCATGTTCTGATTAATTTTTTTTAACGTGCATGTCTTAACCTACTCAAAACGAGGTGTTTTCAACAGGTAGTTTTTTGTTTTTTTGTTTTGTTAAGTGTTACTAAATGCTAGGCGATAGCCTCACTTGGACCCTGGAACAGAAACAGAACCTTAATGAGAAGCTGATGGCATCTGAGAAGCATGTGGAACTCAGTGACTGGTGGTGTCCAGTGCTGAGCTCTTCATTTTGACAGATGTCCTATGGCAGCATAAGACGGTAGCATTAAGGGACACTGAATAAGGGTCTACAGCAACTCTCTATATTATCTTTGCAACTTTTCTGTAAATGTAAAATCATTCCAAAACTAAAAGTTTATGAAACTTTATTTTTATGAAACCTGTCAAGTTGCATTTACAAAATTGTTGTGTCTGAGAAGGAGCAGATTTGGAATATTAAGGCTCATTCCCTCTTCTCCTCTCCTCTCCTCCTCTCCTCTCGGTTTAGGTAGAAGAATTCCATCCACTGACACCAACCCGCCATGTGGCGGGAAGGGCTTCAAACTCCGGAGACAGCCTTCAGAGCCCAAGCGAAGCTGCTGTTGACCGGGCCTTGGCCTCTCCGACTCTGTGATGAAGTAGGTGGTCCTGAACGCTAACAGGAGGGCTGGGGGCCCCGCTGCCAGGCTTCACCGAGCTGGTCTGGGGTCTTCTTCGTGCAAAGAAAGAGTCACAGAAATTGACCAGTCTGTGGACTTGTGTTCTGTAAAGACTCTGGTGTACAGAGGGACTCCATCACTGGCTTTGACCTTGCTGGAAAGGAACATGTAATTGTATGGATGGTAGGATCAAACTGTTGAGTCGTTTTGTAATCAAGATTTTATGTAACATTTGTAAAGGGAAAATGAGCACTTTCGTCGTTCTTGAGGGAAAGAAGTCCTCATGGAGATTATAATTTCCTTGGTTTCCCATTACCACTGTTCTAGGGAGTTGTATGATTTTAAATGTGGTAGGATACCATTAAGTGGAGGGATGGCAATTATTATCTGAAGGTAAAATGGGTTATTTATAGGACTGATGGAAATGATGGCATCCGCACTCTCCAGAGCATTTCCCGTGGCATGCATCAGCCCAGGGACATGCAGGGCGTTCACAGCACTCAACAGCCTTGGCTCCCCCAGGTCTCCTTCTGACCCTGTCCTGTGTGTCACCAAACTCATTATCGGCACCTAGTGTAAAAAGCTCTCAGGATCAGGATGGTGGTGGTAGAGAAGCCGACTAGAATAAATTGAATTGCATATGTTTAAACTAACTGGTTTTAAAAGGAGGAAAGAGGCAGTAAAGAAAGTAGTGTAAATGCTGTCCATTTTTTATTTAACCCAAGTATTTTGGTGGGGAAAACAATTATCTGTTGCTTAGCCTAGGTAAAGTTGTAGTCTATATTTATGAGACCATTGCTTAAAAGGTATAAATTATGTAAATACAGTAATAAATTCTATGTTTCATTCCATTTAATCTCGCCCCGTCTTGCGTGGGCCCACCCCTTTTTCGGCCTGTCCACAGGAGACTCTCCAAAGCACGTCTGCTGTGTGTGGAAGCGTAGAGCCTCCAGCTCACAGTCCCTGCGGAGCTGTGCGCCGTTCCTCCCGCCCCCCGTCCCGTCGGGAATCCCAGTGCAGACAGGCCCCTGGCCAGCCCGGCCAGCCCTTCCAGCCTCGGGGCAGACCTGAGCTCCAAGCTCAAGCCCTTTACTGGGTCATGTAATAAGTTTCTCTTCGCTTGTAACAGCAACCTCAGAGCAACTATTTGAAGAGAGCTTTCCTTGTTAACAATTTACTTATCTTTTCTGTTCCCCTTTTCCCCCCTGCCTCTGTTAGTGGCTAACACTCTTTCCCTCAGGGAGCCTAATGAGGTTTTTAATATAATCTAAACATAAAGCACTGAAGTGAGGTTGGTGGAAATTTGTTCCTGGTCTCATTTGGCACCCTTCCAACCTGAGTATTGTACGGGAAGGAAATTTACAAGATTAAATAGGAAATGAAACAGCTTGAATTTCAAACAAAATTGTGTTTTTAGAGCGCTCCTTAAACTGAACAGTCGAAACTTTGAAAAATAATTGTTATTTCTTTGTGCACCCCACTTGGTGTGGATAGATTTTAATGGGAAAATTACAACTCAGATGAAATACAAAACAGTTCCCTTCTCCCTGGTGAATATCTTCAGCATTTAACTTGTATATTTATTTTTTTATTAAAATAAGATAGAAGGAATGTATTTAGTGAAAATTCCAACATCGTTTTGTTTAAAACATATGTGGACTCTTATTACCCCCAACCTCACCCCCAGCATTTGCTTTAAGAGAAAACAAGTGATTCTAAGCACTGGGCTCTTTGCACCTGACGGTGGCTTCACTTTAGTTCATGTGCATGCAGGTGGATGGGGCATCAGGCCACGGCCCTGGTACGTCCCTGGCATTCCCACTCTGGGCCTCTATCTCCATGACAACCAAATACAAACAGAGGTTGCCTGACTCATTATTGAAGAGGCAATGCTTGCGTGGCCCTTTCTCATTTTACCAAAAGACGGTGCAAATCTGTGACCTTCACAGTATTTCCACCAAACCTGTCAGTGTTGACAATTTCATGGTGTCTGGTGCAGAGAGAAAAGCAACTGGTGAGGCATGTGAACGCCTCTAATCTTGTGACACCGGCTGTCCTTAACCCCAAGACGTCCATCCCTGGAGCCCTGCAGCTGGTGTTCCACCATTCCTCAGACACCATCCAGCATGTAGAAAGGGATTCTCTGTGGTTGTAGCCACATGTTTTATGCACAGAATGAAGGGCGTGTGGTGTGTGCTGCGCCAGCCACTATTCTTCACACGTTTCTGGGCCTCTTCCCCTTTCACTTCATCGGTGGTCTCCGAAATCGACATGACACCGTCTTATGTCCTATCTTCTCAATCCTTAACAACAGCATTGCTCTCTCAGTTCCAGGATCCACACACCATGAGACGGGAGTGAAGGTTTTTGTTTATTTGGTTTGCTTATGAAATGCAAAGATGAATATTAAAGTCAGAAGCAGTGTTTTATTTTGAACACTCTTTGGATAGTGATCCAATACACCTGACAGCAGTGATCTAATACACATTTCATATATTTCTTATTCTGATGTCTTAGGAGAAAAGGCTCGATTTCAAAGGAATTGAGGTATAACCCAATCTTCTTTTGGTTTCCTTATGACACAGGGCCATTTTTTTTAAACTTTAGGGGCTGAAAAGAGAAAAATCATTAATTAGCTGCAAGTGTATGTTGATTCCTCTCAGAGCAGTTAGAATACGCTGTCTGCAGGTGTCTAATCCCAGAAACCACTGGTCCCCAGAAGTCTCCTTCTGATCCTCGGATAACTAACTATCATTCGGTGATTAAAAGAACAAAGTAGGAGTATGATCAAGTGTGCGTCATTTCAGTTTCTCTGTAAGAAGTGACTGGGGAGAAGTGCCTGTGTGCAAGCCCTTCAGGTTCCAGGTGAGCCCTCCTTCACCTGCTTCTCAGCCACAGGCAGGGTAAGTCCTGCGCACAGCGACAGAAAGGGTTAGCTCCTCGAAAGTCACACACGCCAGCTGCCCGTTGATGATTATGTGTGAAGTGCCTGCCTCCCCCACTTTGAAAGGGTCCAGTCTTTTGCCTGAGAGGCTTGATCTCCTCTAAGTGGTCTGGGGTCCTCCTTGAGGTTATCAATTTTCATTATTTTTAAATATATAGAAAGGGAAAGAAAATCACATTTAATTTCTCAGCTTCTATTTAAGTTTTGTATTTCTTTCTTTTATATTCTCAAGAAGGAAAATCGGTGTTAGAAGCCCTAAATTAAACTGGGAGCTGCAGTAATGGAAATGTCCACTCGAGAACTATGCCACAGCTCCCCTGGGTGTGGGGAAGCAGAACGCCCGTCCTTTAGGGCACGGTGTCGGCACGGGCAGGTTCGGGGCAGAGCACGCTGCGCTCGTGGGCGGGTCAGCCTCAGGCTTGGAGAGGCATTTCCTCATTGTCGTGCGCGTGTTACAGTCTGAGAATGAACTGCAGAAGAGGTCATGTTAATTCTTACAAGCGTTTTCACTCGTTTAAAAACTGCACACGTGATCCCTGGCCCCTCAGGGTGTAAGACAGAGGCACAGAGGCTATCATGTGCATGCCAGAGCCCGGACACTTTCAGATGTCTTTGCACGAGCCTGTGGAGGTGATGCCAGAATGCACTCCTCCTGGGGAAGTGACTAAAGTCCCTTAACTCTGACCTGCACGCGGCGCCGGCTTTAGAGCACGGGGCAGTCACAGCTCCCAGACTCCGGCTGGCTCCTCTCTCTGAACTCGCAAGGCGGTAAGAGCTCCTCCCAGCCCTCTGCTGAAAGCCAACGACAGTGATGAGCCATGTAGTGTACCCTGCCGACAGTCTTATCGTTTCCACTTGTTTTAGAGAGACTAGCAGCTTGACTCCCGTTTACTGTTGAGCCTCAAGAGGTGGTCTACCTCTTAACAGTTAATATTTGCTTAGAGGAAGAAATGAAAGGTACCTTCAAGGGTCAAGTTGTTACTGCATACCTGCCTTCAGTTAGTTTGGTCCATCAGAAATTCTCACATGATTCAAGGTAATGTCTAGGAGAGAAAAAAAAAATAGTCCAAGCAACAATTTACGCAGGAGGCAGACATTATACTGTACAGTTTTAGAAGAGGGGGTGGGTGGGATTTAGCCCAGGACTGAAAGAAACAGGCTCTGCTGATTTCCCTTGACAGTGGTCACTCGTCTCGACTTCCAGTAACAAAGCCAGACAGTGTGATTACCCGATTTGCAAGAAGTATCGATGGCATTCTGGAGCATTTGTTCTATTCTTTGTGCAAACGAAAGTCTAAAAAAAAATATTAGAAGGGTGTTACATTTTTCAGGAGCCTCTACGTTTGCAGTCCGAGAGAATGATAAGTGAGAGGCCTGTTGTGATGAAGTTTTATTAGACATAATGAAGAAAGTGAAGACATAGAACCAGGAATGTCCATATTTCTCAGTGTGTCCTTCAGGATTCTCTTAGCATCTAGGAAAATGATTTACTTCCCAAATCAAGAAGGACTTCTAGTAGCATAGATCAACTTTAATTTGAGGGTCTGTACCATCGGGAATAACTAATTAATCTGTGTGCTTTCTTTTTTTAGAGTATAATCAATTATAGATGTGCTAGAACATTTGGGGCTTCTAAACAAAGGGATTCGGAAATTAAATGAAAAGAAAAACCTTGCATCTTTTCTTTTGATGACATCAACCATTTTATTTTATTTTTCTTGGTTGATGTTTAGAGAGGAAGGGAAAAGGAGAGAGATGGAAACATCAGTGAGCAAGAACATCAATTGGCCGCCTCCCGCATGCTCCCCACTGGGGACTCCGCCCACAACGTGGGCATGTGCCCTGACTGGGAATCGAACCGACGACCTATTGGTGCAGGGGTCGACGCTCAACCACTCCATTCAGACATATTAAACATTTTAGATAGTAAGATTAGAATGTGTCATTAGTAGATACTGGAATTAAAATCAGGGAGCCTTAAATCTAACCCCCCCCCAAAAAAGGTTTAATTTATTGCCCGTTCATTTTG